CTGTCAATGCATTTATTTCTTATAGTTGTAATGATGCCACTAAGATTACCTTGGATTATAGCAGCCACAGCATCCTTGCCTTGGTAATCATGAGATAGGGAGCCATATAATTATAGTCAGAGCAGAAATACAGGGCTTCGCTGTGTCTACGTGCACGAATGTGGGCTGGGGAGACAAGGTGACTAGGAAACAGCCCGGGAATCTAACGTTCCAAACATAACCTTGACATGTCATCAGACATTTAATAAAGGATTACCAAGAAGCAGAAGCTCCTGGAGACACATTAAGCAGATGCTGAGGATGTGATCTCATTCTTAGAAGAATTCCACCTAAACAAAAGGGGAAGAAAGGACTAGGATACGAGGACAAATTTCCTGTGATGCCCAAGCAAGCAATCACTTAAAAATTAAGGTCCATTAAGGTCCATTAAGTTACCTAATGAAGAGATTTCACAATGGAACCATGAAGGGTGGAAGGTCAAGCTCCAGGGTGTTTCTTATCACCCCTGGTATAGAAGTCACACACAACTAGTGGCAGCATCTAATCGAGTTTAAGATCCAAAAGAAAATTTAACATGTGGTTGGGGTCAGTAGATGTTTATATCTGTTTAATGAATAAGCTTTTTATTTTCTCTCCTTATTCAATTTCAGGTGACTTTTTTTTTCTATATAACAATTCTTTGATTTTCATTTAAGAAGTGGTTAATTCAATATCTGCCCTACCCTGCCCCCCATCACTCCCCAGACCTATCCTCCCTCATCTTTTTCTCAGAAACTGCTGCCAAGCAGACCATTCCATCTGGCTTTGGTGCAAGCAGCTTGAGCTAGCTCTTCCAGCTTTGGGTCACCTACAAATTCCAAAGCATGCTTTCTATAGAATCCATAAATAAATTGGGCGGGTGGTAGGGACAGCATCCATAAAAACAGGAATTATTAATCTAGTCAAGAGTTAGAAGGAAAAGTGGTATGAAGATGTTTCTGATCATACTGATCATTCTGGTGATTCTGAGAATACTGCCAAAATATCTAGCAGCATTGCCAAAGGGTTGTTTTTAAGTCATCACAAGGAACAAGGGAAGGGAGTTTGCCGAGACTTAATTTTAATTTTCTATACAGTGGGTAGCAAGTCTTATAACCGGTAACTTTTATGCCATTATTGACAATGAATTATTAACTTTTGTTTTTTCCTTTGGACACTTACCCACTTCATGTTTCGGATCCAAACCTCTTGATCTCTTTCTCTCTCCTGTCAAATCCCATTTTGTCACTGTTCAACATTCTTTATTGGACAGTTTGGGGAGAAGTAAAAATGCATTCAGCTTACTTTGTCATTTGATAAAAACTGATGGGTGAGGGAGGAGATTAATATTACTGGCTTGCTTCAATTTCAATTGCAACGGTCTGACTTCATATCAACAAAGCAATCACATCTATAATTGTTAGGGGGAACTGGAGAAAGAAATAACCAGAAACTATGGGTTAGCTCATGGGTTTGGAGATCTGTGGAGGGAGACAGGAGACCTGGATGTATTTTGTAAACCTAAATGTTTTAAAATGTAATTCCAAATATCCTGCTTACTTTGGCTTTCTTTTATCATAAAACAGGCAGTTCTTTGTGCCTTGAAAGAGACACACAGGCTGCAAGGAGTCATCTGAACTGCCCAGAAATGTCTTTAATCTTGACCATTTTCAACACAGATCTCCACGGTGAAGAATTTTCAGAGGAATTCTTACAATGCAGAGTCTGTTCCTAGAGGATGCTGATTTCAAAACCTCTGTACACAGGGCATAATGAGGAGAGGAAGAAAGTGCACAGCTTTGGGTTGCTTAAGAAAAAGGAGGAAAACTGACGGGAAATGAAAGACTACCCAAGTAGAAAGCACGTAGCAGGCTGTGACTCAGAATAAATGAAATGTACCTCTTTCCGGTCTAACCCAGACCAGTGCTTGCCCTCAAGCACTGCAAAGGATGCTAGCTCCCAGTTGTATAAATGTGCACAAATGAAACAGGACGCATTTAAAATGTCCTCACCACCATCGCAGGCAAGGGACTGTTACTAATCTTTCATCATTGATTTAGGTTCTATAATTTTCCATCAATTTTATTCTTTTAGAACTATAAAAATTCCAATCACTCGTGAGCAGGTAAGTGTAACGGATATTGAATGCCTAGCAGAGCAGGATATGGGTAGATTAACCATTTAATACCGGCCTGAACAGTCTGGTAATCTGGGAATTTAGGGATGCAGATGAAGCCACCACATTGTGGGATGTTATTGCTGACTGTGTGTGCTCGTGCGAACATGAGCCGTGGAGGGAGGAATTCGGCCCCCCTTTTCAGGACTTATCACTGCTGTCTGACCTCAGTGCCATTCTCCATGCTTCTGCCCTGCTCCATGTCCCGGGAGGCTGACCTCTGCAGGCTGTTCCAGGCTCCTGTTTCCCAGGCTCTTACCATTAATACCACTACTTTTTTCTCTCTCTCTAACTGGATTTGGTCAGAGATTGGAGGGTGGGCAGAAGCCAGGATATTGCTCATCTTCCTTCTCCAACCGCGGCTTCATCTCTTTCTTGGCTCCAGCTTTCAGTGGACAAGCCCCACATGATTCCAGCTTTGACAGGTCACCTATGTCTCTCCAGCTGTGGGGTGGTAGCTGCTTCTAGCTATGGCCAAACTGGGGTTGCTTTACTGTCCCCTGTTGAGCTTCTAGCCTTTGTGGTCAATTTGTTACACAGTAATACAACAATAATACAACCAGTGGGGAGGTGTAGATTCTATTTGCAATGGCAGCAAAATACATAATAGCCACAATATAAGACCTATATAAAGAAAAATTTTACCTATGCATAAAAGAGGATTTGGAAAATTGGGAAGCTATATTATGTATCTCAGTGGGAAGATTAAATGTTTTATTTTTAAATCTTTTTGGGGGGAGAGGGATTAATTAGGTGTATTTATTTATTTATTTAAATGGCCGTAGGGGGGATTGAACACAGGACCTCATGTGTGCTAAGCACAAGCTCTACCACTGAGTTATATCCGCTCCCCCCAAGATTAAATGTTTTAAAGATGTCACTCCTAAAGGAGTTTTTATAACAGATAAGAAATGCATTAATAGCTCATAGGAAAAAAAAGTTAAATATTTGAACAGAAAATATGTAACACATTTGGAAATCTTCAGGAAAGATCACTCTGGAAATAGCACTGAGGACTCCAAACTAATCTATAATCCCCAACTGGAACTAAAATCTATAATGGTAGAATGGGTCTAAGTTTTAAACTGAGAAAACTCAAATTCCAGAGGTGGTAGGATAAATGACTTTGCAAACCCACAGAGGTGTAGCAGTAAGCAGAGAGACAGCCAAGTTAATCCAACCCTTGGAAGGAGTACTTTTACGAAAATGTTAGAATCTGGGAGACAGGGCATGTGAAAGCCCTCTGTGTGCTGTGAAGTACTTACACATTATTATATATTATCTTTCAAATGTAGAGAATGAGACCTAGTTTATTTATCTTACAGTGTAATTTAATTAGTTATGTGAATGTGTAGTTTAAAATACATGGATGCTGACACAGGATTAGCTAATTACTGAAACCCCAACCTGACCCCAGATTTAGAGAAAGGGGCCGTCCGAAGTCACTGATGGGTGATAGTAGCAACAGCAGTTACAGCAGCAGGAACTGTGTTTGGATAGAAGACATACTGGCTGGTGGTGCCCCCCTCCCCTCTCCAGCCTGTAGCCTGCTGCCACCACAGTGCTTTGGCTACATAAGGGCATCAGCTGGGACCTGGCTTAGCTCTACACAGGATGGGTTTTATGGGTGAACAACTTGTGTGTCTGCACTTAGAAGGGTCCTACGCTTGATGTATTGCTTGTTGACACTGTCTTGAAATTCTTAATAATTTTTTAACAGAGGACCCTGCATTTTTATGCTGCAGTGGCATATTATGCAGCCAGTCCTGGGTTTAGAGCACATTTGGAGTTTTGCTTTTTCTGACAAACAGGAATGGAATTTACCTGTGGTGAGGCGCTGACCCAGGAGTGAGGATTCCTAGAACTGCCCTGAACTGCTCCCCTGCCAGACTGTTCCTTCATTTTAATGTCCATCTGTTGGGCTTACTACAACTTCCCAGAACCAGGCCGGTTGGTAAAGAGAACCCCGCTGAGCTGAATTTGACCTTAGCAGTATTGCCATTCTGTCAGCAACCTCCATGTTGTTTCAGAAGTGGCAAGACCTCTGTCCTGCCTGATTCCAGCCCGTGGTGTATAAAGGAGCTCCTGGTCCAACCTGCCCCTAGCTGGTGAGTGGCCTGCGCCCCTGAGGGCACTTTCTTCCAGAATGGACAAAAGAGGACAGAGGGGGTTAGAAAAAGATAATTATCAGTCAGAGGTCAAGAGTTATTACTCAAAGGTGGACTTTTACCACTGAATATGGCTTAACCTCCCCGAGTCTCAGTTTCCCCGTCTGTGAACGGGGCAAGCAGAGGAGGTATCAACTTGCATAGGATTGCCGAGGGGACAGAGAGTATGCGTAAAAGACGGCTTGGTTCCTGGTCATTTGTTAGCTCTCATTATGAAGCTTGGGTTCTTAATCATTTGGGTCACGGGCCCCTGGGAGAACCTGATGATATCTGTGGTTCCTTCCCACCATCCCCTTCTATCCCCTACAAAAAGTCATCTTCCAAAACACAGCTTGCCAAGGGTGCCAGGGTTTGACCCAGGTGTGCCTGGACCCAGGTGAAGGCACGTGCCTCTACAATGTTCGCTTAGGCGGTGCGGTCTCCACTCCGTCCTTAGAGCCTCCACCTGTGGTTTGTTGAGCATCGCCACCCGCCAGGCAGAGGATCCAAGAGGTCTGCGCGTTCCCGCGAGGGTCCCTGCGGGCAGAGCGGCGGCGCGGGAGGG